TACCAGTTTTTAGTGGAAAAACGTTCACCTTTTCCCTATTCTGGATAATGTTAGCTGTAGGTTTTTCATAAATGGCTTTTATTATGCTTAGAAATGGTTCTTCTATGCAAATTTTACTGAGTCTTGATCATAACAGCATGTCGTATTTTGTTGAATGCTTTTTCCACATCAATTGAAATAATCGTATGCTTTTTATCTTTCTTTCTGTAAGCATGGTGTATTATATTTATGCTTTTGCATATGTTGAACCACCTTTGCATCCCGGGAATAAAGCCTACCTGTTCGTGATGAATAACTTTTTTTTATATGTTGTTGAATACGGTTAGCAAGTATCTTGTTGAGCATTTTTGCATCTATATTCATCAGGGATATAGGTCTGTAGTCTTCCTTTTTTGTCCTATCCTTAACCCTTTTGGAAATGATGGTTATGGAAGATTCATAGAATGAATTTGGAAGGGTTCCTTTTTTTGGGTCTCTAGAACCAGTGTGAGTAGAATGAAGGCTACCTCTTCTTTAAAAGTTTTGTAAAATTTGAAAATGAAGCCATCAGGGCCTGGACTTTTCTTTGTTGGGAGCTTATTTATTACTGATTCAATCTCATTGTTTGTTATAGATCTATTGAGAATTTCTATGTATTCCTGAGTCAATATTGGTAGATTATATGTGTCCAGGGATTTGTCCATCTCATCCAGGTTTTCTTCTGTATTGGCATAGACTCGCTCATAGTATCCTCTAATGACATTTTGTATTCCTGTTATGTCTGTTGTAATGTTTTCTGGTTTGTTGTGAATTTGATTTATCTAATTCCTTTCTCTCTTCTTAATTAGTTTGGCTATTGGTGTGTCAATCTTGTTTGTTTTGTCAAAGAACCAGCTTTCACTTTCATTTATTTTCTGTATAGTTTGCTTATTTTCTATTTAATTTATGTCTGCTCAAATCTTTATTATTTCTTTTCTCCTCGAGTTTTTATGGAATTTTTTTTTCTGTTGCTTTTCCAATTTTCTGAGGCACAATGTCATGTGATCCATTTGCCTTCTTTCCATCTTCTTATGTGCACTAAGAGCTATAAACTTTCCTCTTATAACTGCTTTTGTAGTGCCCTAAAGATTACAGAAACTTGTGTCCTCATTGCTATTGGTCTCCATGAATGTTTTTACTTCAATCTTAATTTCTTCAGTAGTTACATAGTCACTCATGAGTAGGCTATTTAGTTTTCATTTATTTGTGTATTTTTGAGAATTTCTCATGAAATCAAAATCACGTTTAATTCCATCATGGTCAGAGAAGATGCTGGATATAGTTTCTATGCCATTAATTCTGTAGAAGCTTGCTTTGTGCCTTATCATGTGGTTATCCTTTGAAAAGGTTCCATGTGGGGGGTAAGAAAAAATTATATCTCGTGTTTTTTGTGTGGAAAGTTCTATAGATGTTTGTAAGTCTATTTGATTTATTGTATCATTTAGATCCTTTACCTCTTTACTTATTTTTTTGTCTAGATGACCTGTCCAGAGGAGATAGTGGGGCATTGATGTCTCCAACAGTTAATGTGTTGCAGTCTATCTCTCCTTTTAGATCTAACAGTGTTTCTTTCACATATTTGGGTGCTCCTGTTTTAGGTACATAGACATTTATTAGCATTATATCTTCTTGATGGATTAACCCTTTTACTATAATATAGTGCCTTTTTTTTTGTCTCTTAAACAGTTTTTGTTTTAAAGCTTATCTTGTTAGAAATTAGTATCACTACTCCAGCTTTTTTTTTTTTTATTCCCATTTGCATGGAATACCTTTTTCCAACACTTCACTTGTACTCTATGTGTGTCTTTATTCATGAGATGGATTTCTTGTAGAAAACAAATAGAGGGATTCTGTTTTTTTTTTTCTTTTTTTAAAAAAATCTATTCAGCCAGTCTGTGCCTCTTGATGGAGAATTTAATCCATTAACATTTAATGTTATAATCGATATTTCTAGACTTGTCTTTACCTTTAAGTTGACCATTGTCTTGGTTGTCTTTCACCCTTATTTCTGGCTGATCATTCTTAGTTTTCCTGAAACAGGACTCTCTTCAGAGTTTCTTGAAGAGCTGGTCTGGTGTTGGTAAGTTCTTTCAGATCTTCTTTATTTGAGAAGATTTAATTTTTTTTTTCTTATGAAGAATAATATTCCTGGATATAATAATTCTGGTTGAAACGGTTTCTCTCTTAACACTTTCAATATGTCTTCCCACTCTTTTTTGCTTGCTTTGTTTCTTTTGAAAAGTCCGGAGTTAGCCTGATGGGATGCCCTTTGTAAGTCACTTCTTGTTTCTCTCTTGCCAATTGTAGTATCTTGTATTTATCTGTGGTCTTTGCCAGTCTGGCTAATATGTGCCTTGCAGAAGATCTTCTTGGGTTGATTCTATTTGGAGTCCTTTGTATTTCTTGGGTCTGGATGGGTAAGTGCTTCTTAGACTTGGGACGTTTTCTTCCAGGATTTTATAAAATAGATTTTCCATGCACATATTATTTTGTTCACCTTCTGGGATACCAGTTATTCAGATGTGTGGACGTTTGTTTAATGGAGCCTAATGTTTTTCGTATATAATCCTCATGTTGTTGTTGTTGCTGTTGTTGTCGTTATTTTCTCTGTCTTTTTGGTATTTTTTTTCTAGGTCAGAGGTTTTATCTTCTACATCATATTCAGCATGGTCAAATCAACTTTTAATACTTTTGAGAGAGTTTTTGATTTCCTGTATTACAGACTTCATCTCTAATAGCAACATCTGATTCTTTCTTAGAGTTTTCATTTCTTTTTTCATATCCTGGAAGGACTTCCTAATCTCCTGTAGATTATTGTCCCTTTTCTCTTCCAACTGATCAAATTTTGTCACCATGAATGTTCTTAACTTTTTGTCTAACATTTTGGTAACATCTGTTTATTTCAAGAGATGGAGAGCAGTTATTGTGTTCTTTTGATGGAGACATATTTTCTGGTTTATTCAGACCTGAGGCTCTTATTCTACTTCTAGCCATGGGGAGAGGTATTCACTTTTGGATACCTTTTGACTGGTAACAAGTGTGCTTCCTTTTTTGTAGACTGATGTGTGCCAAAGTCTCTCTTCTTCTGTTTTGCAATGTGGTCTGCAGAGAAGGAGTCTTCTATTCAGGAGTCTGAAGATCAGACTTTCCTATTTTGCAAGTGGTTATGTAAAAGGGAGAATCCCAGGAAGCATCACAATACCAGGGTATTTGAAAATTGTGATTCTAGATCTGTCTACCTTTTATAGTGCATGGAGAATTGGTAGGAGATGACAATATAGGACGGAAGATAAAAGAGTATGAAAGAGAATAAAGGAAGTGTGTGGTGCACGATTTTGCCAGGGGTATGAAGATAAAAATGGGCTCTGCTGAAGAGCTGGGGTAGTCCTATGGTATAAGGATAAATAGAAAAGTTACAAAAGAAAGAAGAGAGAACCAGCAGTTAGCGTAATGGCTATGTCACTGGACTCCCACGTAGTTGACTGCGGTTTGTGTCCCGGACCTGGTGGCTTAAAACTCACGCCAGGCGCATGTGCGTGCGTGCCCAAGATCCCGAGAGGAGAATGGAGGAGAAGAAATTGCGGCATGACTATCCCCTCTGGGGGATGATTTCTTGCTTTCTGTCTCTATGCCTTTCTCTGTCTGTCTGGCGAGCACACATGTCCTATAGCAGAAGAAAACCTCTCCAAAAAAAAAAATTAAGAAAGAAAGAAGAAGAGAAGAGGAAAAAAGGTCTACCTTGCTGACAGAGAGAGTGGGTTGCTAGGGTTGGGCAACCAAAGCTGGAACTGGGACAGAAAGGCTCTGCCTCAGTGTCCCTTAGGCCAGGGGTCTGGAGATGGAAATGGACTCTACTGAAGAGCTGGGGGCAGTCCTGTGGGGTAAGGACAAGTGGAAAATTCTTTAGTCATATTCTTAAAAAAATTTGTCATTTTCTCTCTATATTAATGATCTTCCTTTAAAATCATCTCTGTTCAGACAACAGTGTCATCATCCACCTAAATGACACCTCATCTCACTCACAAGACCTTCAAAGCCTCACTTCATTGTTTGGACGTGATTTGCTTAAGCAGAGGGAAAAATACATTCAAAGTTTTCTGAAGCCCTGGGAACGTTATTCACACTAGCTCTGTGTATCATTGCAGGAGAATCTCTTAATTTGAACCTGGGCCTATAAATTTATGTCTTTTGGCTTTGATGAAGAATTTACCCTGAATTGCATGACTTGACTGTATTTTCTAATGCTGTCCCCTTTGTTTAGGTACCGATGGATGAACTACCGATATGTATTGGCCTTTTACTTTGCCGTTGAGCAGATCAATAAAAGTCCCCATTTGCTCCCCAACCTCTCCGTGGGTTATGATTTTAACAATGCATTTCCCAGTGATAAAAGAACTTTAGAAAGTGCTCTAGTTTTGCTCACTGGAGGGAATCAGTCCCTGCCAAACTACAACTGCCAGATACAGAAACAACCTGTTGCTATTATTGCAGGAAACATGCCAACATTTTCAGCTCAAGTTGGAACCCTATTGGAGCTTTACAAAAGTCCACAGGTAAGTGGGTTGTCAGGTTAAGGAATGAGAATTGGACATGTCCTAATGTAATCCTCTTACATCTTAGCAAAGAAAACTTGGAAGCTGGGGTTACATACCTCTAGAGGCCCTCAGCACTTCGCCTGGTTATTTGAACACAATTTGCTTAATCAGAGGGAAAAAGGCACAGGTTCTTTCCTGGGTCATGGGGCTATTAACAGTACAAGGATTAGAAAAAAAAAAAAAAAAACATATGAGGGGCGATTTCTCACTATCCCTCTATCTCTCTGTGGCAAGAACACATCATTTAATTTACACTATGACAAATTCAAAATAAAAAAGAAGTAAAATTTGTTAAGTTTCACCAATGTTTCTTTCCATAGCCATAACATCCAAAACCCAGTAATGGGAATATTGAGGGTTGTCTTAAAGATGCTTTCTAAAAAGTTCATACAATGTAGGGAACCATTTCATCTTAGGACAGGACAATATTAGTGGGTGTAAAGAGGACAATTAGACACAAAAATATAAAAACCTTTGCATTTATTATCACTTTGGGCAAATAAACAATATTCCAGCACTGGAGATCCTCCAAACTCACAAAATGGCTCAGTTCCTCAGCTGAGGTTTAACCAGATCCCTCTGCCCTTCCTCACATCTATACAGGTGGATCCCTTGGAAGCACTTCCAGTTACTCTCAGAATGACAACTCTCCACCTCAGAGGTTCTTCCAGGGAAATTATCATATAAAAGTTTCAAGAGACCTTACTGGTAAACACAACATTAGCATAGAATAATTATGTTGTAGAAAAAAACTATTTTAAAAATATCATAGAGTATATATGCTTATGTTTTAAAGACAATATATTTTAAGTTGTGTTAATAAAATACAGTATGAAAAACTCAATACATATTTTTTTTCTCAGAGTTTAATATTTTAAAATTGGCATCTAGAAAAGGAAGCCTCTGATCCACATTGTCACATCAGACCAGGAAGGCAGATTCACCAACATTTCGTTGCAGTATCTTTTTATAAAGTGTATGTATACCTCAGATCTCAGTGTAGGCAAGAAAGCATGTATTGAACCTTATAGTTTTTCTCTCATGATTTGGTCTGGAAGTGATATGGTTACCTGTACTAGTCACATGTCCTTTTAAAAAAATGGAATTGAATACAGTCTTCTAATGGTCATATTGATAAAATAGAATCATTTTCACAGCATGCAATCTCTTTACTGAATATTCCTTTCTTTTATCTATGCAGGTAGAGAATTAGCTCCTCTCTGTTTAAGTGGGAAATTTTTTAAAAAATCACACTAAATTCAGAATCAGATTATTTTATTTTTTTGGAAGATTCTAAATATTTGTATTTTTCAAAATGAAAATCACATATTTTTTAGAGACAATATAAACAAGAATTGCAAAAAAAATGTTGCTCAGGCATAAGCATATACAGATGTATTAATTATGCATATACGATTATAAGTGTACTTGAAAAAAGTTCATTGGAAATATTCACACAGTTCTGGATATGTACATTGTGTAGTGTTACAATTCTATACTCATACTAGGAAAATTGACGGTATGTTACATTAACTTACAAGTACACAAAATGCAAAATACAATTCATCTTCTTTACAAAAAAGTATGAGATTTTTTTAAAATCTTTTTTATTCAGGTCACATATGGTCCTTTTGATCCCATCCTTGATGATAAAGACCAATTTCCATCAGTTTATCAGATGGCCTCCAAGGACAGCTCTCCAGCTTATGGAATCATCTGCTTGTTGCTGCATTTTGGCTGGATGTGGGTGGCGCTCTATGTATCTGATGATATGCAAGGGGAGCAGTTCCTCCAGGATATAAAGGCAAAGATGATAGAAAAGGATATCTGTGTGGACTTTACAGAGAAGCTCCCTGCCACAAAAAGTGTCATTTATTGAAAAAACACTCTTATTTAACTTTGGGAAAGGTATGGATCATGAGAAATCTCCACTCTTCAGACTTGGAAGATGTTTTGAGTATTTTGAGTAACATGCCATACAATTTCCATGGAAGCCTTTTTCTTTCAAACCAGAAAAGGAATATTCCTGGCTTTAAAAAATTTCTCAAGACAGTCAACCCTTTCCAATACCCAGAAGATTTTTATTTCAGTAAACTCTGGGTTTCCTTTTTTAATTGCTCACTTACTGAGCCACTGTGTAGCAAACTTAGAGACTGCCGACCAAATTCTTCCATAGAGTTTCTACCACATAATTTTTACATGAGGACAGTGTCTGACACCAGCTATTTTATCTATCATGCTGTGCACATGGTGGCCCAAGGTCTTTATAAGATGCTTCTGCAAAAAATAGAAATGGGATCTGAAAGAGAAGCAGACCAGCCTATTCTTCCCTGGCAGGTAAACATTCTTCATAAGCACCTGATTATATTTGAAGTCATTTTCTTTTTCATTTTTAAGAAAATATTTCTGCCATAGGTCATGTGCTTTCACCATAGAGACATATTGAGAGAGAAAGAGAAATCATTCCCTGTGGGTATGGTCACACCATAATTCTTTCTGTTCCATTGTCTTCCTGTGATTTGGGCACTGGACATACACTCATGTCTGGCATGATTTTCCACATTACTGATCTGAAATTCAAACCATGGTCAGTCATATGGGAGTCCTCCTTAACATCAAACTACCTCTGACTCCTGAAGTGTTTTTCTTTTCTTTTCTTTTCTTTTTAAATTTTTTGTATTTAGCTTTTTCCCTTAGGGCAAGTGTGCTTACCACAAAGGGGAAAGACAGAAGAAAAGTGAAAATCACCTTCTAGGGAAATGGCCATGCTGCATACAGTCCCTTCTCTTGTTTCCTTTTGAGATTTTGGGCATGCTCACACACATGTCTGGCATGGTTGTCAAGTCTCCAGATACAGAGCTCAAACTGTGGTAGATCATGTGGAAACTCAGTCACCCTAACCACCAAGCCATCTGCTTAGGTATATTTCTTTGTGGTACTGAAAAAGATTATATAGAGAGAATAAAACTTTTTCTCTAAAGGGAGCTCTCCATTAGTTGCACATGATTGATCCACTCTATGTTTTCTCTGTGAATTGCCTTGAAGGCTGGCTTTTTCCCATCACTCTCTTTCTCCTCTCTTTACCCTTGACTTCACCATGTCTTCCCCTGTCCTTGATTTTATAAAATGATTGGAAGAGAAAGTGTGGAAAGTAATCACAATATTACCTTAATATAACTTAGAATAAACAGATTTAAAATGGACAAAATATTGGAAGAAATGTTAGAATATTCTAAAGTCAGAATGACCATTTGGGAAGGATCTGAGCACTTATACTCTTTTACCTGCATGGATGACCTACAGGTGTCTGCAGTTATTTATTTTGCCTGTCTTAATCATAACAGAATTAATTTTAATTTTTCTTATACTGTCTTCAATAATCATGGAAGAAGGAACAGTTATCCAGTTTTATAATATTGAACAACTTTGATGCATATAGTCTCAGGATGTTCTATTTGGTTTATAAATAAATTTATCCTTTATTTTTAAAATTTTTTAAAGAATTATTTTTAATTAAATTAAATTAATTTATTTATTTATTTTAATTTGGCCAGAGAGAGACACAGAGAAAGAGAG